TAAGGATATTCTAAGGATGATTATATCTATCTATACACGAAGTGTCAGGTTAAAATACAGATATTCGATTTTCCAGTCAATACCTTAAAATGATTCGAAAATCCAGTAAAGCGAGTATAACTTGTGTCTAAAAGTGCAATGGCACGAACCCTTTTAGGTTTTCTCTAACCTTACTGAGATCCACTTGTGAGCAAAATATGAGCTCAAACGGTGCGAATCACTTGGGAATATTCCCTCGTAAGAATGAATACATGGTAACAGAAAAAGTGGATTATGAGGTGATCTAATACTAATATCACATTGAATTAAATCTTTTTTTATGATTTATCAGTAAACTGAGTGTTTTTCAATACTATATCAATTGTTGAATTTTATTTCTGAATTTTTCATCAACGATATTCACCTTATAGACAGATAGTACGAGTTGTGTCATTGTCCCCTGTTTTTTGCTTGTAAGAATCTTTTTCAAATAAATTTAAAAAATATCGCACTGTTAATCTGACTTAAGAATTAATCATTCATTCTTTGATAATGTTAGAGACAGTTATTTTCTACCATTCAATCAAATCAAAGTCCACTGACAACTTTTTCGTAATTTTTATCATTATAATTCGATTTCATCAAATTAAGAAAGTTCAATACACAATGTTGTTATCGTAAATCTATTCGATAATCTTGTTGAGGATGAAAATCTGCTTTGACAAGATTAGAATAAAAAGCAGATAATAAAATTAAGCTTAAAATTTTCACAAGAGAAATGTATCAGTGTACCCTAAGGCCATCGTGTAGAGTTGAAACTCACTTATCACCTCTAGCATCATGAATAATTGTGAAAATTTCAAAGCAACAGAAAAATAATTCAAATAAAGTAAAGATATTATTTCGTACTCCAAGTAAAAGTACGAAATTCACGTTTTTATACTAAAGTGTAAGTACGAAAAAGACAAGTACAAATACTTTTGCTCGAGCTCTAGAAGCTAATCCAAGTCGATGAATACAGTTATTCATATTTTCATCGTAACTTTATGTCATAAGACACGTAAACGGACCGTATTTTTTTAGTAATCTTGGACACAGTAAATGACCGTATATGGATTATATCATTTAACCTGGAAAGAACTCGTGAATAAAAAATGAATTATGAAGAAGAAACGTGATTAACGGGTGTACCATAAATAATGACATTATTAGTATTTTGTCCCTATTTCCTTTATTATCTTGACTCTTCAACTTTGGATTTTTTTCAAAAGATTCTTCATTTAATTTTATATAAAATCATATGACTTTAATACAGTTTGTTTGTTGAATCAAGGTTTTTTCTAAAAGCGAAAATGTAGAAGATCCAACAAACATCTTTCAAGACTTAAACAGTACTATAGGTCTTCGGACAATCAAACGCTAGTGCACGGTGATTTCCAAAATTGGCTCTATTAATCTTTCAACACCACCTAGACATCCACATACAATTCGGACTGAAGGAGTCATTCAAAAAGTTAAGAAATACTTATTACCTTCTTCTTTTTGAAAATTGTTCCACATCTAATTTAAGAACTGAACCTATTTGGCCTTTGTGCTTTGGTAATAGCCGGTTGGACTATCACTTTGCAGATTCGTAGGCGTAAAGCTCCTTGAGAAATTGTCGAGTAGTTGTATTGGAGCTTTTACATTTGATGGCAAGTTTATGAGGAGACTTTTTTAATGATTCCTGTGAACGACCAGGAGGTGTTAAAAGATTGTTAGAATCAGTTTTGAAAATCATCTTGCAGAAGCGTTTGATTGTCCGAAGAGAGTGTGGGTGTGGGGTGTGAGTGTGAGCGTAGATGAAATGGATACATACACCCACATCCTCAAGTGACATCATAGCACTAATTTCTTGAGGGTTATGCTTGATTACATTTTCTGCTGGATTTTCACAAAATAATATTTATTCTCTGCTTTATTGAGGAAATTGGGAAAACTATTTCTTTTTCTATAGGTATAAATCTACATTAGAGTGCATGTTAGTGAAACAGTGTTCGGATAGACAGGAGCTGTAGGGACATATTTTTTAATTTCTTCCAAGAATTTTAGATACGTTGCAATTGGTAATGCTGATGCATTTGATCGAGCTAGTTCTGCTTTTAGAGATTCGTACATTCCATAGGAGTTTATCTGACACATGATATGTAGTCCAGACAATGTAGAACCGTCCATTCCTGCACATATTGGAAGTAGAACTTCAAATTTATTGATTTCCAAAAAATAGTTGACATCATGTGTAGACCAAAGTCGAAGTTCCGGCGGTAAAGTTCGAGTCATTGGAGGAGTCCTTTTTTTGTTAACACGAAAACTAAATAGTTTAGTTTTATGTAAAATTGACAGTTTTCACTTACCTAGCCGCAGCTTCAGGCTTGACATCTATAGTGTGTACTATCGGAGTCGAAATGTTAATTGGCGGTGATATTTTTGTGGTTGGTTTATTTCGATATCTAGTGATTTCTTGAATAACCTTACTATATGCCTCGTTAAAGTTATTATATTTGTGAAAATCAGTATAAATCTTGTTTGCAATGATGAGACCAAGCCAACCATCTGCACGATATGGGCCTTTGACGATTAATGGGATGAGGCAGCGTTTCCTTTGAAAGGCATAATTCGCTTCCATTTCGCAGAATCCACTTTGTTTGTACGAATCCGACATGCAAATGAAAACAAACTATTAAGACTAACATCTTTAAAACCGTTATTTATATGATTTACTTCGCTGTTTTCAATAGCATGAGCCATGGCCCGGGTTGCAGAACCGTACATATTATTACGATCTAGCCAAATGCGATAATTATTTTTTTCAAGTTGATCTGCAATTTGGTAGACTATTTGTTTATCATCATGTGAATAGCTCTAAAACAAAATGTTGAATTCTATTAATGTTCATTATCTTCGGGTTCTCTAATGAAATAAAGGTGCACGATCAGAGTGCCGATGTAGTCTATTTTTAAAATTTATACGGGCATCTACTTACTATCATAATATCAAATTCATATTCGTTATTGGTCACAGCAAGGTCTGTTTTGTTTCTGTTTATGAAAGACTTGTCATTACTTTCATTTTGATTTGTCTCTTCAACCTTTGGTGTTCCAATCGAGTCGCTCTCTTTCAACTGCCACAAGATACTTTCAGCGACACGTTGTAAACCCCATTCTTCAGAATGTGACAATGTTTCAATGTGAGTAAGAAATTCGGCTTGATTTCGAATGATGTTAGCTGCTTGCTCATTAAATGTCATTACAAGCAAAAGTTCTAGTGATCGCTGTTTGACAACACTTTGATTGAATTCGGAGTCAGTAGCACAACGGATCAATAATGGAAGACCAGATTGAGATTTTGCGAATTCATCTCTAATCAACTCATGTTGAACCAAACCTTGTCAAAGTAAATAACTCAGCAAAGTCTCGATGAGAAAGAAGTATAGATTTAAACCTACTTTTTAGACAGAGTAGAAGATTTTCAAGACGACGACGATGTTGTATGAAATCGATCGTGAGGTTCATATGTCTGATAAATACGGCAGTGATTTTTTCAGGTTCAGCAAGTTGTTTTAATTCCTCTTCGGTCATAATCATCGCCAGTGTGCGATAACCGTTGAACTGCATAAGATCAGCTTGTGCTGTGGTCAATCTTAGCATGCATTTCGCCACGTTTGCCTTTGATTTTATGATTGGTAGAAGATCATGTTCTAATGATAGCAAAAAGATATAATTGCTGGCATTATTGAATAATCCTTCAGTGTCGGTGTCATTGATATTTTCCCATAAAATATCATCTTGGAGGATAACAAGCAATGAATCGATAATCAATTCATGATTTTTAACAAACTGATGTCTTATATCATTGTCAATCGCCAAAAATTGAAGCATTTTTACGAAATGATGCAACACTCTGACATGTATTGATTTTCTTGGCGGTATAAATTCAAATAAGAGTTGAGCATAAACAGGTAGACTACGCGAAGAAATTCTTTGCATTAAATAAATAACTGTATTCAAGTCATTGTATTGATAAACTTGCATCACACGATCAATAAGCAATAATTTCTGATTCTCACTGAGATCATCATCTTCATTTGAGTGTAAAGAATGAAAAGTAATAACAAACGTAGAAGAACAAATACAATCAATTAGCATATCGACCCATGTAAGAGATGTATTATCGTCTTTATAGTTTTCTAAAGTACGTAAAAGAGTATGAAGTGAGCGGTCCAGTGATTCTTCTATAGGACAAGGTTCATTTGTGACGAAAAAGAAGAAGTGGCTGGCCTTGCCAGCAACTTTTTTTGCTAGACATAGTACGAGTCCATCAATCAAAACTTGTTTATTATTGCCAGATGTCACTAAGGTCGGCGCAACATATTGCTCAAAAAATTGAGCAAGTTCTGTTAGTGTATGTTTGACGTTTTGGTTCATTTCTTGGTTAAGCAATTTAATAAAGCTATCATGTAAAACATGGATAATTAGGGGATGCTTATTATAACAACTAGCAGGTTCTATTGGTTTGAGCACTTGAATAACATTGTTGAGCATATCAATAAATTTTTCTTGATTGTTGGCCTCTTTAGTCACTGTCAAATCACGCATAATGTCATTCAAACATGTATTGAATTGCTCGGTGGACAAAGCGATACCTTTCTCACGTAAAAGTTCCATTTACGAGTTTATGAAATTTTTCTTCTTTTTCGATGCAATATGTTTGAAAAATGAACTTGCAGAGTAATAATGTTAGTGAGCGTATGAATACCTTTAAAATGCTACATTATTGAAGTTGCTAGGCAAGAAATGTGTAACCATTGGTGTGCTTCACTCTAAATAATGCAGGATGAAAAAAAAATACACTCTTATTTTGCATATAATTCTGTGCGTATGTATGTTGCTGCAAATGCATGTGCTTGTCTTGTGAATCTATCCGAAAGTCTTAAATCTTTTTCAAGAGCAACATACATTCATACCAATTCAGCGTCCAAATCATTTTCAAAAACTAAGGAACACAATACTTAATACGAATCGAGAAAAAATTACACTCTAACATAAAATGTGTCGCATTTATATGTCGTGAGTTATTGTGTCGTGCTTAGAATGTGTTGTGTATGAATTTGTCGCGTTCTGTTTGTTTACTATTTATTCACCGTTTTTGTTATGCACGCACAGCCATACATAAGCAACATGGTTGAATGTAAGAAAGATAAATATTTCCACAATAATTTGTTTTTTAGATTATATCTCGATAATTTATTAGTCGAGAAAATGCCACTCTCAACAAATATTCGAGAGAGGACTGCCCTGAATCGATCTGGCAGAGATCGGACCAACTCGAGGCTGGAAAGATCTCAAGCTGTAACCTGCTTGAGTTTTCAGAACAGAAATAATTATAATGGAATTAAATTGAAAAAAATTCATAGTATGCGTTTTCAGAAGAACCAATAAAAAATGAGTCGCATGTGTCGTGCTCTTGGTGGACAAAATGTGTCGCAACGAGCACCACGTATCGTGCTTTAATGTGTCGTGAATTGTGTCGTAAACCACGACATATGCGACACATTTTAACTTAGTGTGTATACCTAAATATGAACATATTCTGTTTTATCAGGATAGTGCTCTAAATATTTTCTGACGAGATCTATTTCTTAGAATTTTCTTAACATTTTTGTGAATCTACAACTATGTTAATACAACAAAAAAATTCGATCTAACATGATTAGATTCAACACAATGCTTTTTTTTATGAACCAAATTAAAAACTGTATAATTAACACAGTGTGGAAAATTCGTATATTTTTAAATGATTGATTTCATTGATAGAATGTCAACTTCTTTTAAATAATCATTCAACATCTGATATTACAAATAGGATTTCATTTGAGCTACAGCATTAATAAAAAATATTTCTCTTGTTGGATATCGTCATAGAAACACTACGACTCTTCCGATGTGTCATTCGGATGTCGATATTAAAATGAAAAATAATCTCTTTATTGCTGCTGTTAAATCAATACAATTCTGTTTTCAATTGTTGTCCATCAATTCAAATAATTATTCACCATATTCCTACCATTATTTGTAAAAGTCGCCAGATGTCACCCTATGACGCTAACCAAGCTATACAATTGCGATTCTTTTCGTTTTTGTCTGATATAGACTATCCTATTCAGTGGCAGCGGAGTCTGTAGGCCCGGTAACGCTTGAGCCTCACTTATTTTTGGCTTCTGTAGGGTGCGTGGGTGTGGTTGTAGGTGTGAGTTTGAATCCTCACTTGGCCCATCCACACCCGCACCCTCGATTGATTCTAGTCTAGAGATGTAATGGTATGTTTGGTAGAAAATCTGAATAGTGACAAGTTTTGTTGAAAAAAATTTATCAAAATCCGTAGAACAGGAACTGAAATATGAATGTTTTACCGTTAAATAGCTAGCAGTACAATATGAACACAGTTAATTCATATACAGTGAGTCCCAAAATTATTCAACCAGGTGTAATTTGGATTTTTTTTCGTAGCCTTAAGCGCTAGAAAGAATCCAAATGGTGATTTGAATAGAGAATATTGTTGCCAACAAGAATTTGTGAAAATGATAATCGTCATGAATTTTCCTAAAATAGGATTTCTAGAAAACCAAAACCATGGTTTTTCAACATCCAGAAGCCACAGCAAAAGCCTTGTTTTAACAGTCTAGGATTATAGAGCAGCCAATTCTCTACAAAATGAGACGTCTCCGAGCTTTCTACGACATTCCTTTCAAAAGTTCTAAGCGTCACAAAAAACGAAAAAAAGTGAAATTTATGAGAAAAGCGACTAAAAACCTCATTTTTTCGATTTTTGTGACGCTTAGAACTTTTGAAGGAAATGCCGTAGAAAGCTCGGAGACGTCTCATTTTGTAGAGAATTGGCTGCTCTATAATTCTAGACTGTTAAAACAAGGCTTCTGTTGTGGCTTCTGGATGTTGAAAAACCATGGTTTTGGTTTTCTAGAAATCCTATTTTAGGAAAATTCATGACAATTATCATTTTCTCAAATTCTTGTTGGCAACAATATTTTCTATTCAAATCACCATTTGGATTCTTTATGGCACTTAAGACTACGAAAAAAAATCCAAATTACATCTGGTTGAATAATTTTGGGACTCACTGTATATGTTCAACATCAAAACACAACAACGGTACAAGATATCTTGTCAAACATACAAGCATGATCTTGCGTAATGAGCGAATGAGTGTTAGAAATGAGGGCGCATTGTTTACAAAAACAGGTAGGGTTGCCCAGTCATATTTATAATATTCGTTAGTAAAGATGTCATTCATCTCTAGAATAACAACAAAAACCCAGTGAGAATTATAATTTGAGGTTTATTAATATTTTATTTTATAAAATAATTTCTTTTAATCTTACTTGTCAGATTTTCGTAAACGGTTCCTTATATATACAAATGAATTTGTAACGGAAGTTCTGGCGTTTTTTTAAAGCTATATTTACTTTCAAATAATCATTTAAATATTGAACGTTTAAAAAATGAAATAACATAATGTAAATAAAAAATATATCATGCACATTTCACACGTTCAGAATAATTATTGGGTAACTTTTTCATTTGATCACATCGAAATAATGCATGAATACCTTCTTTGACCATTTTTGTATATCATCTTTAGTTGTATTATCTATGATGACTGGATTTATCATCTATTGATAATAAATCATTTTCATTCAAAACTAAATGCTTAGATCGTAACTAAAGAGGTATTGAAGTCTTTTCTTTTTGAAAAATTCTTTATAAAAATTTGAAAGAAACTTTTTTTCTTTCTATATATTCTGATCATCATAGGCGGCAGAGAAGTTTTTCACTATGTAAAATTTCGATTTGTGATCATGAGGCCTAGATGGACGGTATGGGTGTCGGTGTAATTGAGTATTTCTGTAAACAATCACCCACCATTTTCTTTCTCTGTCTTTCTCAAAAGTAAGTCGGTTCGTGGAGTTGTGATTCGATTTATATTTTTATAGAAAAATCTGATTTTATCTTATATTTTATCGAAAAAACTACAAAAATTCTCATAAATCTCTAAATATTGTTATGGTCTTTCGATAAAACAAACTTCATACATGTAATAATATCTATTCTAAACAACATATTTTTATTTTCACCTATTTAATAAATTCAATGAGAAATTCTTTAGGATTAACGTATGAAAGTTCCTAAGTATGAGTGACCGTTTCGAATGTTAGCTATCTCATATTGTAGAACTCAATGGGTCGATGTTCGTGGTATAGTTCGTTTTACTGAAAGAACTTTAAATAGAGAAATCTGATCGATTTTGTCAATGAATTTCTCAAGTTTTACTAAGTTTGGCAACAGTTGTTGCAAGTTTAAAATTTTAAAGGTATCGAATTTTAAAATATTCAAATTATGCAATATAGAATGATGCATGCAATCTGTTTCTGCATGAGGGTGTGGGTGTGGGTATGGAGCATGGATGAGTATGAGTATTAGTATTCTCTTTAACCACACCCACACCTACACCCACACCCTTATTCATCATTTGCTTTAAAACCTTATGGCTTTTATCCTGATAATCAATGTGCTTATGAACATTGTTGTTACTTTCTGATGCTATTAATCTATTTTCTTTCTTTTTTTCTCTTTTAACTTCAGATTTTCTTGATCGAAATACATCATTAACAGCTTCAATAAATTGAAGGTTTGATAGTGGACCTTTTTGTGATTCAGCAAATTCTATGCAAAGAAAGAATATAAATGTAAATCTTTTGTTATCAATGTAAAAAAATCTGGCTACCTCGAATTACCGATCGTGTATCCTTCGGTACTTCTGTTCCTGTCATAGTTAACAATTGATCCGATGAATATAAAAGTCGAATTACTTGTCGAGCTGTATTTGATGTTGTATTTTCCATGCAAGCAATTAAATCTCGTGGATTATCTATGCCCAAAGCAATTGCATATTTTGAAATATCTGTATCAGGTATTTTATTAGCAAAATATTTCCCCATGTTGATGAATCATTGACGTCCTGCAGCATCGGGAATGGCTAACAATTTATCTAAGATTTACTATTGTTTGTGTTTAATAAAAAATATTTATATGTCGCTGAGAAGTTTAAAATATTCTCTTTAGAATTCGTTAAAACTAGCTTTGTCTTATTCATAAAATTTTTTCCAGCTAGCATTTATATTTTGGAAGAACACACCATCATTCATAGATAGAACATGAGTAGCTCATAATAAAGAACTTATTATACAATCATTACTTCTTTGGTATTGTTCGAATACTTTTTCGTCATTCTTGAAGGTGTGGGTAGGGCGTGGGTGTGGGTGTGCGTGAAGAGAAGATATCCACACTCACACTCACCACATCCATATCCACACCCAATACGCCATCCCAGCCCACACCCTCTATCGCATAATAAGATTGAGAAAATGCCGAGCAACTTTTCAATGAACTGTTTGAGCATTCACTTTGCCTAAAATGTTGTCATGAAAAGTATCAATCATGACTTCGTCATTAGCTCTCGATGGTATTCAATGCGGTGATCAAGATACTTGATACAACTTGTGAGAAGGAGAATAAGGAAGGAAAACTAGTCATAGTTGTCTTGTCATCATATATACGTTCAATCTAACACTTTAAGAAATGTCCTTTATTAGAATGATACATAATAGCACATAATAGATGTTCAAAACCAGTGTCAACCGATAAACATGCCATTGAACCAATTCCCACGTATGACATAACCATTGGCAAATATCATAGTGCCCCATCCATTTTTCTTGTCGGCTGCCCAAGAACCTTCGTATCGCCAGCCTTCACGAGATGTAAACACTCCTTGTCCATGCATCTGGTCATTCATGTAATTGCCCACGTAAACGTGCCCACATTCGCCACAATGAAAAGTACCATAGCCATCTCTCATATCGTCTTTCCAATTTCCTTCGTATCGGCTACCACTAGGCCATACACACACTCCTTGTCCATTCTGCTTATCATTGACCCAACTTCCCACATATATATGACCGCAGCGAGTACAATTGAAAGTTCCATTGCCATGCCTCAAGCCATCTTTGTAAGTTCCTTCATACCGTCCGTTCGGATAGATGAAGACTTGGATACTACTTTGATACGATACGGGCAAGTTTACTTTGAATAACTGAGATGACGTTGAATGATTTGACACCGCTGACCAATGTTCAAAATGGTTTGGCATATCTGGTATTGGTTGAAAGTGGTTCGGCTTGGTTTTAACCAATTGAGACTGACTCGGTTCTACTGTTAATTGTTGAGGATTCTTTGTATTGATTCCCAATTGCTGAAATTTCTCTGAAGAGGGTGGCAACTGTTTAGGCTGGTTGCCAATTAAAGAATGTTTTTTTCCTTTCCTGTGGTCTTTCTTTTCTATGCCCTCCTTGCTTGAGCCATCTTGCTTTAGTTTTTCATCAACTAGAAAAATTAGTTTAATAAGCATTGTCGCACGTTGTTTCACTCAAAACTGAACTTACCTACGAGTGATTCTTTCTTCATGCCGTATACCGGTGGCGTAATATTGAGCACTTTCTTTGATGGCTGCAAGTCTTCGGCTATTTCATCGAATACAATCAGATATCAAGTTTGGGTACAATGGTAGACTATTGTTATCAGAGCTCCATGAAAAATGGGAATGATTCCGTCTCATCATGTCGTGTGTTGGGACGGGATAGAACAGGATGTGAAGAAGAGTAGACATCGTGGGTTTTACAAGATATGTGATGAAGATCGGCGTATGTGGAAGAGATAGGAACAGTAGAATGATTTTGTTCTATCCGACATATGGCTTTGATAGAGATAATAAACATGAACTCATGGCTTGAAGTTCAATGCATGCATGTGTCATTCTCCTTTCCTATAGCTATATCCTTAAAATGTTCTATCGACTCCTTCACTCGCGTGTAACGGTTCTGTCAACTTTTTCATATCTCACTTAGGGTGATCGCTCAGTTTCCAAGTTGTATCTGTAAACTTTGATTGATATGGTTATTAATAGAAACATTAGATTAAATATGTTTCTACTCTGTTTGAGTTATTGTTTAGATGCCAGAAACAAAAATAGATCACTATCGTGTGAATTTCTAGCTTAATTTTTCCACTGAGAGATATGAAAGAAAACACTTTTGTGCATAATAATAGTTTTATCACTGATTCTATGAATGCAGAATTAAAAGCTGGTTGTAAATCCTATTGATCTCATCAAGCTTGTAGTTCAGTGTGCAGAAGACATGTGCGGAAGTGGAACACTATTTTACACAAAAATCACAGAAACATGACTGGGACCAAAACTCAAATGTAAAGTTGTGATACTATACATATAATACTTTTTTGAAAAGAGATGGAATGCTATTCTCTTTTAAATAGCTTAACAAGCTCTTCTTAGATCAACATGAGAGAATAAAACAGAGCCGATAAATATGAAACACAAGGGATGGTCCTAGAGATAATGACACAAGATATTTGGTTCTTGCGATGGATAAAAGAGAAAATACTGCATAAAGCCACTATCCCATAGAATCTATTCAAAACCATCAACATCTATTCTCAAATTGTTAATTTACAGGACACTGCAGGATCGGAATTCAGACCAAGAAATGCTGATCCTGCACATCTTTAGTGTGTACATCTGTAAAACATTTTCTCAGGAGAATAAATTCTGATTTACAAGGAATAGCCTGGTATGTATAACAATTCGTACTTTCTCATGGCAACAGCTTTCATGAAACTAACAGGACCGAATCCGATTGGAGAGACTTCATAAGAATTAGAAAACGGAACATTATAGAATAACTTTTCGTTGTTCCGAGGAGCTCTAATGAGTACTAGTAACCCATCTGGACATTATTTTACAACAAAAAAATTCTTCAACTCTTTGACCATTATGAAACAGAAAAATGGACTTACGAGGAAGGGACACCAACTGATCAATCGCTTTGGAGTTGAGAGTACGTGCATTATATTTGTATAAATGAGTTATGAATAACGTGAAAAAATTTCGGGTCTCTAGCTCATCGTTATGGAAATACTGGACTTTTATGATGAGCTTTGAAAATGAGTACTGTTGTCTTCCTCAGGAACATTAGAAAAATGATTTTCAGGTTTCCTCCTGAAATTTTGCATAAAAACAAATCTTACTGAGCATAGTATTTTGTGAAAGTTTCAGACCTTTTTGATGTCTCTATCCTTAGCTACAACTAAAATAACTTCGTTCGAATATGACAGACGACCTGATGCTCTCGGTTCAGAATAGAAATAAATAAACACATACGAAACCTTCACAAAATAATATTCTCAGTAAGATCTGTTTCTGTATGAAATTTCAGATGTAAAGGACGGGTGTGCATAAGAGGCCATATCGGCCCACTGGCGAATTCCCTATTAACTCCCA